GAAGTTGAAATGAAAGTCGTCAGGAAACTTGTTGTAAAGCCGCCCTAAGTCCCGTCCCGCCCAACCCTCCGCCCCAGGGTGGGGTACAAATGTACGAAATAAATAAAGGCATCACTCAGTTCAGCTGAAACATCCTTCTTAAATTTCTTAAATCTTGCCATATAAATGAAAAAATACAAGGGCATTCATGTGTGATTTGCTTTGTATAGAATTAAAACAAAATTGCATCACAGAACTGTGCAGAGACAACTGAAAGACTAAACAAAAACCTAAAAAAAACTTAACTAATGCAGGTTAAGAACCACTTATCCAGAAATCCAAAAATCCTTTCCAATCCAAAATTGTTTATATAGGAAGCCTTCGGGTGGTTCAATGTACACAAACTTTTTTCATGCTCAAAATTATGAAAATCTGTGTAAATAAAATTAGTTTCAGGCTGTGTATATAAGGTGCATAGGAAATATAAATGAATATTGTGCTTAGATTTGAGTCCCACCTGTGTACATATATGCAAATACAGACATTCCAAAATCTGAAAAAATATGAAATCCAAAACGATTCTGGTCCCAAGCATTTTGGATACGAAATTGCCTGTATTCTGTATTCACCAGCAGTTAAACACAGAAATACAGAGAAGGTACAAGTATTGTGCTGTTGCCACAAGATCATCTCTCTATCTCACCACAGGTTCATTTCAGGGAATGTAAATAGTGGTGTCACTGGAAGATGCAAGCTGTACCAGATGCAAGCTGTACCAGAGATGTCAACACCAAAACATTTTGATGCAGCCTTTCAGATTTTTTTTTTTAAAAAATAATTTACTTCTTAAACCTTCTAATATACATGTAATCTAACCAGAGCTTTCATCACTGCTACTCAATGACAGTGGCACTTTGAACTATGTTGTTTCACACACACACACTCAACAGGTAGGCACCACTGTTTTTGTTGCCGCTTGTTTTTCATAGTTGCTGATTTAAAAAAATAGTTTCAATATTGTGTTATAGTCTGGTATGGCAGAAGGTTGATGTAGGTGATACTAATCCTCGGGATGCCACTGGCATGCAAGGCATAGTGCAGATGATTTACAGACTATTCCAGCTATGTTACGATTCATGATTCTCTGCAGGGATATCAGTGGAATGGGATGGGAAATCAGGCACAGGAGCAGAATAGATATGCAGCAAGGTATGGTATGGAAGGATGTGCATGGAGATGACACTATGACTTGCCACAGTGGGTGAAATCAACCCTAGGGATGCCACTAGCATGCAAGGTGATATTCAGATGAGTTGCATACTATTCCAGCTATGCTAAAATCTGTGAATCTCTGCAGCTATATCAGTGGGATGGGATGGGATGGAAAATCAAGGATAGGAGAACACATACGCAACAAGGCCCTATAGGGGAGGAGGCCCATGGAGATGACACCATGAGATACAGCACTGGGTAAAATCAATTGATGTCACTAGCATGCAATGTGATGTACAGATGACTTGCACAATATTCCAGCTATGCTAAAATGTGTCAGTTTCTGCAGGGATATCAGAGGGATGGGAAATTGGGGACAGGAGCACAACATAGTATGCTATGGGAGCAAGTCCATGGAGATGATACCATGAGTTATTGCATTAGGTGAAACCAATCCTAAGGATGCTAGCATGAAATACAATGTACAGATTGGTTTAATACTATTTCAGCTAGGCTAAAATCTGCGAGTTTCTGCAGATATAGCAGTGGAATGAGAGAGAAGAACAGGTAGGCAGCATAGTCTGGTAGGGGAGGAAGTAACATCATGATTACCTCACTTGGTGAACCCAACCATAGGGGTATCACTAATATGCAGGGTGAGTAGATCAATAGGTACCTATCCGGCAGGAAGGTAAGGCACTCCATGCAGTCATGCCAGCCACATAACCTTGAAGGTGTCTGCGGACAACACCACCCCCCAGAATCAGACACGACTGGACTTAATGTCAGGGGGAAACCAATCCCACACTATCCCAGCTATGCTAAAATTCCTGTGTCTCTGCGGGGATATAACTGGAATGGGATGGGATGAGAACCTGGGGGCTGTTGCTGAATAGATATGTGATACAGTCTGGTACAGGAAGATGTTCATAGAGATGCCATGAACCCAACTCTCGGTCCCACCACCTTCTCAAGCGTGGTTGGTGGGGATGAAAGAGATGGCCTTCTCTGTAGTGGCTCCCCAGCTCTGGAATACCCTCTCAAAAGAGATTAGATTAGCCCCCACCCTTGACTCCTTCCAATCCAACCAAAAAGCATGGATTTTTAAACAGGCTTTTGGCCTAGAGTAGACTGAAATGGACCCATATGAGGTTGATACACTGGCACTTTAGTTGTGAATTGATGGCAGCTAGTTTTAACTAGATGGTCTGCATTTTTAAATTGTGTTATTTTATTTTATATGTTGATAGCAGTTGTTTCATAACTTTATACTGTTTTATACTTATGTACCGTTTATGTTATATTGCACTTGGAGTCCCTTGTAGGCCACCTCGAGTCCCTTTTGGGAGATGGTGGTAGGATATAAATAAAGATGATGATGATGATGATTGGCTACAAGCAGGGTTGTAGCCAAGGGGGGAGGGGATTTAACACCTCCCCCCTGAATTTTTTCAGGTTAATAAACACTAGTTTACTCATGAATTTTAACTGGTTAACCAAATCCCCATGCTAAGTCTATAAGAAGCAAGAATTAAATGAGTCCCTCCAATCCTGTCCGATTCTTGGGGGTGGTGCTCATCTCCATTTCTAAGCCAAAGTGTCTGCGTTGTCCATAGACACTTCCAAGGTTATGTGGCTGGCATGATTGCATGGAGAACAGTTACCTTCCCGCCAGAGCAGTACCCATTGACATACTTGATCTACATATTTGCATGTTTTCGAACTACTAGGTTGACAGAAGCTGGTACTAACAGCGGGAGCTCACCCCGCTCCCCGAATTCGAACAGCGACCTTTCGGTCATCAAGTTCAGCAGCTCAGTGGCTTAACTCACTGTCCCACCCGAGGCTCAGAGGGCAATGAGCTGCATAGTATTCCAGCTATGATAAAATTAACAGGATATCAGTGGTGTGGCAGAGGATGAAGAATCTGGGCCAGGAGCAGAAGAGATATGCACCAGCTTTAGTGACACCACTGACCCCAAATGAAGACCTTTTCTCAAGCACAGTTGGTGGGAACAAGGGAGAGGGCCTTCTTGGTGGTGACCCAGGATTCAACCAGGATTGCCCTCCAACATTGAGGGAGGGGGGTGATAGTATGATAGCTGAGTCTGGAAGCTCTGAGCGTTACAGAGATGCCGCAAAGGAGGCTGTGAATAAGGGTAGAGAGGGGGCGGAGTGAGAGCAGGAAGATCGAAGGGAGGATAGAAAGGAGGGGACGCTTAGGGTAGGGTTTAGGGCAAGGTTTAGGGTTTGGGTTACAGTTAGGGGTTACGGTTAGGGTGCGGTTTAGGGTTAGGGTAAGGTTTAGGGTAAGGTTTAGGGTTTGGGTAAGTGTTAGGGCAAGGTTTAGGGCAGGGGTCCTCAAACTAAGGCCTGGGGGCCAGATATGGCACTCCAATGTGATTTACCCAGCCCTCGCTCAGGGTCAACCTAAGTCTGAAACAACATGAAAGCACAAAACAACAACAATCCTATCTCATTAGCCAAAAGCAGGCCCATACTTCCCATTGAAATACTAATAAGTTTATCTTTGCTAAAATTGTTCTTCATTTTAATTATTGTATTGGTTTTGAGTGGCTTTTTGCACTACAGATATGTGCAGTGTGCATAGGAATCCATTCTTGTTTTTTTAAAAAAATTATAACCTGCCCTTTGAGGGACTGTGACCTGGCCCTCAAACCTGGCTCTCTGTTTAAAAAGTTTGTGGACTCCTGGTTTAGGGTTTGGGTTATGGTAAGGGTTAGGGGTTAGTTAGGGTTAGGGTAAGGTTTAGGGTTGGGTTTGAGTTGACGTAAAGGTAAGGGTAAGGGTTAGGGTAAGGTTTAGGGTTAGGGGTTAGGTTTAGGCTTACGGCAGGGTTCAGGGTAAGGATTAGGGGTAGGGTAAGGGTTTCATCTTAAAAGAACTCTTACATTCCTTCTATATTATCTTTCTCCGGCCTGGCTTCACAACTAAAGTGCCAGTCTCTCTTGTGCAAACAGTGCTCCCAAAGAAGCAATGTGGGATCTCAGTAATGCTCGGAGTTTCCAGGGTAATAGTATGAAAGCTGGGTCCGGAAGCTCTGAGCCTTATGCTCTTTCCACTTTGCTCCTATGGGAGCGCTGTTTGCGTAACGCAGAACAGAACACAGATATTATAGAAGGAATGTAAGAATTCTTTAACGGTAAAAACCTAAGCCAGTGGTTCTCAACCTGGGGTCCCCAGATGTTTTGGGCCTACAACTCCCAGAAATCCCAGCCAGTT